TCCCGCCCTCCCGGTGCCCCCAGTCCGGAGCGTGGCCGTTCCTCTCTGGGAGCAGCCGCTCCCCACTCCCAGCTCTTGTTCTCGAAGCACTGAATGAAGACAGCAGCGTCTCGGGGCTGAGGAGCTGCCTCATCGAGTGCTTTAATATCGCTCTGGAGGAGCTGGGGGGGACAGTGCCACATGTCACACAACCCACCAGGCCCTGGAGGGATGAGGTGGGGACACCGGAACAAAACGTCAGGAGGGTTCACGGAGCATCACTGCGAGTCCCGGTGTTTCGGGGCGTCGGGAGACTCAACCGAGTGATCGGGCCCAGCCCCGGTCCCCAGGGGATTTACAGCCTTGGGCACAGGGATGCACCGAGAGGGACAGTGGCACAAAAGGGTCAAGCGGCTGTTCCTTCCTGGCTGCTGCCCTGTGGATGCCGTCAGGCTGCCGGGAAGCACCATCATTCCGCAGCAGCGCAGGGCTGGGAGTGACGGCCAAGGAGGATCAGCCTGGTGTGGTGAGCGCCTTCCGCGGGGGCTGCTGCGGGAGGCCTCGGCTCCCTCTGCATTCGCACTTGGAGCTGGTAAAAAGAGGCGTCCGGCCGTGCCGAACCACACCGAGGGCTGGGATGTCTCAGGGACAGCACTGGGGAGGGGACAGTCCGTGCTGGCTGGACCCTGCGCTCTGACTGCGGGATGCTGAGCCGGGTCCCGCAGGGAGGAGAGGGCAGATGGAACCCGGGGGAGGAGGACGAAGCTCACGGAAGGGGAAGCTGGTGAACAAAAGGCCGATGTTTGCTTTCCCTCCACCCTTCGAAACTGCGGGTAAACAAGGCGCAGAAATGGTTGAGTTCCCTTGAGATAACAAAGAGCGCTGGGGCCGGGCCAGCTCTGCCCGCGGCTCGGGGCTGGTGCCTGCGGGGCACGGAGGGGAGCAGGGCACTGGGAGCTGCCTGGCTGCGGACTGGCAGGGCTGGGGACGCTGGCAGGGGCTGGCAGAGCTGGGGACATAGCTGGTGGAGCTGGCAGTGTGCTACCACCTGCTGGAAGCTGCTTAGGAGGGAGAGCTGCTATGGGAAAGGGTTTGTGCAAGAAAGCCCTGAATATCCGAACTGGGCGTGTCTGTTGCCCGCACATTTGAGACAGGTCCAGGGACGGGTTGGTCAGCGAGATCTCCAAGACCCCGGGAGAGCAAGGAGGCCACGTCCTCTGCAGCTGCTCTCCTGTCGCTTCCAAACCTTCCCAAAACCCCTCAGCCTCCCCGTAGCACCGCAGCCTTCCCATCACATGGGCTGAAGGAGCCCTTCAACCCACGTCCGGGTTGAGGCACAGAGCCCCCTGCACCCGTTGGCACCACACCTCAACCAGAGTGGTTAAAGCCCTGAAACAGCCGCCCCACCAGCCCTTCATCCCTTCAGGGCAGCATCCCCAGGGCTGCGGGATGAAGCTCTGCCAGCGGGTGAACCACATGGGCTTGGTTCTCCGGCAGCAAAACAAGAAAGTGGGGGCCCTCACTGCCTTTCCCTGCCTCTCTATTGAGGGAACAGTGCAATTATCTTTGCAGACACATCACTCCATGACAAAAAATAGCAGCTGAGATGGAAGCACCATGTCCCCGCAGAATCCAGCTATCAATGGAAAATTACGCATTCATTACTGGGCTTTATTTAGGGGCTTATTTTATTCATTGGCTCAGCCGGCACTGGCCAGCCTGGATGCTGGCCATCCCCAGCAAGGGGCTGAGGGTGCTGGGGTGACCCTGCTGCCTGAGGTGGGTGCTGGCAGCAGCACTGGGCACACGGAGCAGAGCCAGGACAGGCCACCAGCAGCCAGGACTGCTGCTGGACCCCCCAGCTGGCTGCTGCCCACCTGTGACACAGGAACCACAGCCAGGCCCACCCACAGCTCTGGTTCTGCTGGCTGCCACATTCACTAGTGGGTCACAGCTTGGCTTGTGCCACTCAGAGCCACTCCAGGAGACTCAGGAATGGGTGGCCATGTGCTGCTCCAGGAGGAGGCAAGAGGGGAGCTGGCAGCAGCCAGCAGGACAGGGAGCTGCCAGGTGTGAGGAGGAGAGGCTGTGCAGGGCCAGCCCTGGGTGCCAAAGGCCACTCTGAAGCCAGGGGGACATTGGGTGATCCTTGGGGGAGAGAGGGGCAGAGACAAGTGTGACTGGACAGGATGGGTTGGCCAAGGTGAGACCAGGCAGGAACAGGCAGTGATGGAGACCTGTCCCAGCACCATGCCCAGGGGTGGCATGAACCACCTGTGTTCCTTGCTCATTTCCAGGTTTAATTAGAAATGTATTCCAAACCACAAACCAGTGCCCAGCAGCAGACACAGGGCAGGTAAAGGGGGCTGTGTGTGCCATAAAAACCTGCCAAATCCCTGAGCTGGCCAGGGAGCCCCCACGGGCCATGGGACACCTTGTGAGACAGTGCCAGCAGCTCAGCCCTGCCCTGCACCTTCCCACAGTAGCTCCATCCTGGCCATGGCCTGGGGAAGGCTGCAGGGGCTTGGGGCCACAGGGAGCATCATGTGGCAGCCATTCCTGGGGAGAATCCAGCTGAAAAGGGATGTCCCCAGCAGGAACATCCAACAGCACCAGCGTCCAAGAGGTGGTCGTGCCTGTCCCCATGGGCAGAGCCAAGCCAGGAGCTACAGCAATGTCCACCAGCCCCCACTCCAGTGCTGGGGCAAGTGAGGGCAGCCCTGCCTGAGGCTTCAGGCTCCGTCCCTCCTGCTGAGGCCACCGAGCAGTTCCCACCCCAACAGCATTTCACCTGTACGTGTGGAATTAAACGTCTTTGTGTCCAGCTGGGCAGGGTGCTCCATGCAGATGATGGAGGTAGGCAGCAGCCAGGGAGGACCTGCAGGGCCAGGGACCACAAGACCTCTCTGGGGAGGAAAATGGAGAGCCTGACCCCAGACCTGAGAGACCAGGCACAGCTGGAGAAGAGGAGCCCAAAGCATCCCCAGTTTTGCCGTAGGGTGAGTCCAGAGCCAGGGGAGCAGGTCGGGGACTCACGTACCCCCTTGGCATCACTGCTTCCTCTGTACAACCTGGCGGAGGTGCAGCTCGCTCTCTGCCGCCACGATGGGCTGCTCGTTCTCCCGGTGGTGGCTGATGAGGTGGCTGATGCTCTCAAACAGCACATCCTTGGTCCTCACCTGGGGCCGGGGCACAGTGATCCTCAACTCAGGAGAGTTGCCTCTCATACAGCATCCACTTCCAACACCCTGTGCCTGCCCACGCCTGTGTCCTCAAAGCCCACCCCACGCCCTGCCCCTACCCCGGTCCCAATCGCCCACCCCAAGCCCTGCCCTCACCCCCGAGCCCTGCCCTCACCACTCCCTCGGGATCCACCAGCAGCAGGTGCTTGGGCTGCCCGCTGTGCATGCCGGTCAGCACGTACTGCCCCGGGTTGGTGAGGCTGTCCCGCACCAGGAAGTCCCCGTCCATCTGCAGGAGCCTCTCAGCATCCCACCGGCTCATCTTCCCGTGGTACCAGGGCTCCCGCCGGAGCTGCTCCTCCGTGGGGGCGATCGGGGCCTTCCGCGTGGGGGGGCTCGGCCACTGGTCCTCAATGGGGGGGCTGGTGCCACCCCCTGCAATGCACTCGTGGAGCTTCAGGGCATCCTCAAATGGCCCTGTGGGATCCAGGGGTTGTGGGGTGTTACACCAGGGCACAAGGCAGGGCTGGGCTGTGGTGTGGACAGACCCCAGCTCACAGCCCCCAGGGCGCTGCAGGGCACTGCTGTGGACTCGGCCGGTGCCAGCACCTCTGGGGCTGTGGTGGGTGACCCAGACAGCTGCTGGCACAGCTTGACCGCTCCACAGCAGGTTCTGTGCCATTCCCCTGGTGCAGTGGCTTACTCATATCAAAGAGGTCCTTTTTGGGGCTCTCCTCCACTGCCCCATGAGCCACCAGCTCCGGCTCCCAGGCATCCAGGCTCTGCGTGTTCACGTACATGTGCTCCTCGTAGTCCCGTGGCCCCAGGGCGTGGCTGTCTGCCTGCAGGTACCCATCGCAGGGCTGGCCTGCGAGGACAGCCATCACCGCTGGCCAGGACTGGGCAGAGTCACAAGGACCCCCCCAGCTCATGGCTTCCCCCCACAGCAGTACCCACCCTGGCTCTCCAGGTCCCAGGCTGGCCCCAGCTGGCTGCTCGGGTCTCGTCTGGCTGCTAACCCACCCTAGGAAAGGAGACAGTCACAGTGCTGGGGGGGCCCTGCCTGGGACCAGCAGTGCCAGCAGTGGTTCTGAGGGACTCACCTGGCCAGGGGGGACAGAGCTGGAGGGCTGAGTGCGGACGTGGCCCAGGGCTGTGCTGTGGCGGAGCCTGGAGTCAACCAGGCCCCCTGGGGGAGGCTCCTTCCCTGGGATGCTGTTGTAGTAATCGTGCTCAGCCGCCTCCTCATCCTCCCCCCAGGCTGACTCCTCTGCAGCTAGTGCCCTGCAGCAGGGATGGGTGAGCTGGGGACACCCTGCCCAGCTCAGACCATCCCCACACCCTGCAGTGACTCCCAGAGCCACCCCCTGCCAGGGGACATGCCCGGGACAGGGGTGCAGCAGGGCCCCCCGCCCCCCTACCTCTCTGGGGGTACCACCACCTTGGGGGGGCTGTGTAGGTACTGCTTGAAGCGCAGCTCAAAGGCCTGTCCCACCGTGCTGATGACGCTCTGCGCCAGCCCCTCGCAGCACTCCAGGATGTGGCAGGCTGTGGACAGACAGATGGACGGTTTGAGTGTTTCTCCCCACACTCCCATCATTGCAGCAGGACCACCCTGAGCCACCCCTCGTGTTCCCCATAAGGGATCTCCTCCTCCAGCCTTCACCCCCCAGTGCATCCCTCCTCCACAGAGCTCCCAGGCAAGGAGGCCGGTGTCACCTCTCTGGTTGATGGGGTCCTTGGCGACATAGGCAACATAATCCGTGGTATCCTGCAGACAGGGGGGGAGATCAGCACTCATGTCCTGCTACTGTGTGGAGAGCAGGGCTGGAGGTGCCAGGACAAGGGGACAGCTCAGTCCAAGCCCCACGTCCTGACCCAGGCCAGGCTGGCCTGTGCTCAGCTCAGCCATAGACAGTCCCTGTCCCCACCACCCTGGGGGCCCGGGGTGTGCATGACTCACCATGTCCCCACCGGAGGCGAAGGAGATGGACTGCATGTGGTGGTTGGCGATGATCTGATGGGGAACGTGGCCCAGGGGGGCATTAGCAAAGGGGCTGCTGGCTCACAGGCTGGCAGGTAGCAGGACTGTGTGCCCAGGAACGCTCACCTGGCGTGTGGTGGGGATCATGAGGTTCAGCCCATCAACCGAGATGTTGACAGCGATGCTCATGCCAGCAAAGTGCAGGTTGCTCTTGCCCAGGATGGAGAACAGGGCTTTGTTGGGAGCCTGACAGGGGAGAGGATGCAATGAAGACCACCAGGACCAGGCTTCCTGGGGTGAATGAGGAAAAGGGAGGGGTGCCCCAAGAGGCCCCAGGCCCACAAACTGGGCAGGCACCCCTAGTGTCCTGTCCCACAGCCTTGTCCCAGGGACCGACAAGCTGAATGGAAACTCACCTTCTTCTTCCAGATGCCCTTCACACCCGGCACTGCCTCGTATAGTCTGTTGATGGCTTCCCTGCAATGGACAGACCCTGGCCTGGTCACTGCTCCAGACCCCCAGCCCTTCCCAGCTTCCTTTTCTCCCTGACATTGCTCTGTGGGGTCTGGTGGCACGAGCCACCCCCTGGGTGCCGCAGCCTCCCCGCAGCGCTGCCCCACGTCACGGCCCGTGGTACGTAATCCCAGCTGGGGCCACCTCCCTTCTCCTCTTTCCACCCATTGATCTGCGGCAGTGCCCTTCGTCCGTGTCCCTGAGTGCAGTGTGGGTCCTGCAGGCCACGGCCCCCCTGACCCGCGTTCCCCTCTCTGCACAGGGCCCTGGGAGCCACAAAAGGCTTGGGGTGGCAGTGGGGTGCAGGAGGGTGGGACTGCAGGGCCGTACCTGGTGACCTGTGTCCTGGTGTTGAAGTCGAGGGACCTCATGGAGCGCAGCACCTCAATGCACCCCATGTACTGCGGGGGGAAAGCAGCCAGAGCAGGCGGCACGACAGGGCAGGCAATGGAGAGGAGAGGCCGGGTGTCAGAGAGAAGGGCCTTCCACACCAGCTCCAGGGATCACACACACAGCAGCTTTCACCCCGCACAACAAAACGCCCCATCATATGCCCAGCCCCCGTGCTAGGACCCCACAAACTCATCTGTGTGCTACAGCTTGAGATGCCCCAGAGGGGCTGACAACGCTGGAGTCCCAAGGTGGGGCTCCAGGGCCCAGCAAGCCCCTGGCTCCATCACGGGAGCTGCATGTGCCCGGGGGCGGCTGCTCCGGTCCAGCCGTGGGGTGGGGAACTCGAGGGAGGGCTCTGTCCGCAGCCGTCGG